CAACACCTACAACAACTACTACCTCCTACTACCAACTACTACAACAACTACTACTACTACTCCTACTACTACTACAACCTACTCCATTCTACTACAACTACTACTTCACCTACTACAAATAACACTACTACTAAACTACTACTAACAACTACTACAACTTCTACTCCTACTACAACAACTACTACTCCTACTACAACAACTACTACTTCCTACTACCAACTTCTACTACAACACTCTACTACAACCTACTACAAATAACAACTACTACAAGTACTACTACAACAACCTCCTACTACTACTACAACACTCTACTACCCTGCTGCCACCTACTACTCACTGTTCTTTTTCTGTTTCTTCTTCCTTCCTTCTGCTGTTTCTTCTTCCTCTTCTGCTCTCACTGCTTCACTACTCCTTCTACTGTTTAACTACTACTGCTTCCTCCTTTCTTTTCTTTCTTCACAACTACTACTGTGTATTTTCTTCTTCTCACTGCTGGCCACTCCTTTCTTTCTGTTCTTTCTTCTTTCTCCTACTGTGGCTATCCTCACTACTACTCTTTCTGTGCTACTACTACTGTTTCCTCTTTCTGTGGCCTCACTGTGTTCACTCACTGACAGCTACTGTGACTGCTGGGATCCACTGCTGGTCCACTACTACTGCTTTTCTTCTGTTCTTTCTCCTCTGTGTGTGTGTGCCTCCTGCCTGTGTGGCTGTGTCTCCTCCTGTGTGTCTTCTCTCCTGTGTGGCCTGTGTGCCTTCTGTGTGTGTGCTCCTCCTTCCTCCTGTGTGTGGCTGTGTGTGGTTTCCTGTGTCTTGTGCTCACTGTGGCTGTGTTCCTCTGTGTCTGTCTCTCCACTCCTGTGTGTGGCTGTGGCTGCCTCCACTGTGGCCTCTGGCTGTCTGTCCTGTGGCTGGTTCTCCTGTGGCTGTGCCTTCCTCCAGTTTCCTCCTGTCTGGGTGATTCTGTGTGGGATCAGTGTCGTTTGTTCCTGTCCTGGTTCTGGTGGGTTAAATAAACTGTGTGTCTTTCTTCAAGTGGTCCTTATTCAGTTCCATACATGTTCATCCACATTCATGCATATTGCGATGTCCTGAATGTTGGGTGGATGACTACGTGGTGTTTGGTGGTCTAGGTCTTCTAGACGTGTTGTTCCACAGGCCATACAAGGTTTTTGTCAGTGTTTAGACCTGTTGGGTTTGTGTTCTTCCACGTACAGCACCACGTGAGGTCCGGGTTTGGGATTCAGTGGCTGCTTTCGGGCGGTGCTGGGGATCCGGGTCAGGCTCCGTTGGTTGGCCATGTCATCAGTTCATTCTGGTCACTGCGTGGTGGGTTGGTCAGCTCGATTATTTTCGTCCTGCTGGGATGCTGGGGTGTGTCGGCCTCACTCACTCACTCTTCCACATTACAGGGTGCCTGTGTTTCCTGTGGTTTGTGTTGTTCACAGGCCCTGTGCTGTGTTTCTGTGTGCGTGTTGTTCCTGGTGCTGTTCTTCTGTGTTCCACGTGCTGTGTTTCCTGTGCGTGTTGTGTGCCTGTGTTTCCTGTGCGTGTGTTCCTGGTCTGTGCTGGTCGTTCCACAGTGTGTTGTTCCGGTGCCGGTGTGTGTTGTTCCATTGTGTTTCTGTGATTCCATTCCTGTGTTTCTGTGTGGTCTCTGTGATTCCTGGTGTGTCATTTCTGTGTGTTGTTCCACAGTGTGCTGTCCATTTCTGTGTTCCTGGTGTGCTTCTGTGTTTCTGTGCGTTCCTGGGTGCCTGTGTTTCGTTGTTCCACAGTGTGTGTTTCCTGTGCATGTTGTTCCTGTCTGTGCTGTGTTTCTGTGCGTTCCTGGGTTCTGTGTTTCTGTGGTGACGGTGTGCCACTGTGTTTTCCACATTGCTGTGTTTCTGTGTGTTGTTCCATTCCTGTGTTTCTGATGTGTTGTTCCTGTGCATTGCGTGTTTCTGTCTCGTTCCTGTCTGTTCCTGTCGTTTCTGTCAATGTTCCTGTGCAGTGCGTTGTGTGTTGTTCCACAGTGCGTACTGTGTTTCCTTACCAATGTTTCACTGTGTTCGTGTTCTGTTCCACAGTGTTGGTCGTTAACGCTTACCAATGTTTCTGTGCGTGTTGGTGTCCACAGTGTTTACTGTTAACGCTTTACCAATCGTTTCTGTTGATCCACGGTGTTACCTTAACACTTCACCAATGTTTCTGTGCGTGTTGTTCCATTGCACCTTACATTAACACTTACCAATGTTTCTGTACGTGTTGTTCCACAGCGCCCATTACCGCTTACCAATGTTTCTGTACGTGTTGTTCCACAGTACTTTACGTTAACGCTTACCAATGTTTCTGTACGTGTTGTTCCACAGTACCCACAACAGCGCTTACCAATGTTTCTGTACGTGTTGTTCCACAGTACTTACATTAACACTTACCAATGTTTCTGTACGTGTTGTTCCACAGTACTTACATTAACACTTACCAATGTTTCTGTACGTGTTGTTCCACAGTGCTTACATTAACACTTACCAATGTTTCTGTACGTGTTGATCCACAGTATTTACATTAACACTTACCAATGTTTCTGTACGTGTTGTTCCACAGTACCGACATTGGCAGTTTCCAGTGTATGTAGTCAGTGTAGTACATGAGTACTTGTTAATGTTTGAATCAAGATGGTGCTGGTGTGATTCAGCACCCTGTTTTTCGCTGTTTTTGACAATGTTGCATTTCACTCAAACTCAACGAATATTGAATCGGTTGCTTCACTTCATGTTCCAACATGTCGTTTAAAGTGCCCATTCAGAACAAACACACAAAGTTGCATTGACCTTATAGTATAGATGGCCACACCACGTTTAAGTTTGTATAAGGCTATCACATTTTGAGGTGTGTTCCTATATTTTTGATTGTAGTATATAATTAGTATGCAAAAACACCATAGGTTCTATTTTTCTAAACACGCTCCTGGGAGTGCTTCTATTTATACGTCTTATTGATGTTGACTGTCTCCTTCAGGTCAACAGTACAACGAAGTGGGTGCGATAGCATCTCCGCCGCAGGAGTCGCCGTCCTCCTCCTCACCATTCCCATGCTGGTCTGCATGATCATGTCCAGGTGAGCTACAACTGGTCTTGTGGCTCAAGTCCATATATAATGTGGCGTCAAACGCACACAAGCCGATAGAGCATTTCTGCGGCTAATGCATGAAAATAAGATTTATGTAAACTGACGAACAAACAAATTACATCCCTAGTTCCTGGGGATTCTTTTTCAACAAATAATGTTAATATTTTGAAAAATATTTTGATTGTGACTTACAAGTGACAAACATTGAATATCTAAATGATCTGCCCGCATCTCACGTTCCTCGCTCAACCGAGACGACTCAGTCGATGTTGACTGGTGAACAACATGCCCCATGGTCGATAAGGCCCGGATGCATTCAACCGTCTCATAACCGTGTTCCTGATGCTGTAGAGCACCAACGCTGTCGGTGGTGATGACGTCACCGTGATACATCAGTTGCGCAGATGATGGTCATAATGGAAGGTCTTCCAGTTGTTGGACGGTCAGATGGTTGACGCGTGTCACGTGCTCTGGCAACAAGGTTGGTCGGAGACCACATCAACGACATTGCAATGGCTCGTTGTTTAGATTATTCTGTCGTTTTGAAGAGTGTCGCAGCAGCTGTACCACAACCATCTCAGTCGGCCCAAGTACTTTTGACGCATAAGATGCACTTGCGATTCAACTGAATCATGATTTACATGATAACCACTCATATTATTATGAATTATATCTGTGGGATTTACACGTACACAACATTTTTGACTTGTAAGTCACAATCAAAACACTTTTTAATAATCCCCAAACACCAGGTGTTTATGTCAGTTTAGTTAATCCGTTGAAAAAATGCAAGAGAATGGTTAAAGGTTTGTTTTGGCAACATGCAGACGGACACTTTACATACTTGTATTGATACTGGAAATTGAACTTCGGACTTCTATTAGTGAGCTTGACTGGCAGGTAACCAGTCTTCCCTAACCGTAATCATACGTTACGGACGTCCCATATCGATTAAGTAGAGAAACCTAATATCGTGAGTTCGAATCTCGGTTCTGTTTCTAGGTTTGGCTGCACCATACCGGGGTCGTGGGTTTGTGATAATTGCAAAACGTGTAACATTCGGCGTTCGCCCCACTTCAAGCAGAAATATTGCTCAAAAGCAGTGTTAGATCAAACTCAACCACTCGCTCAGTTCCGACACAATCCGATCACTTATGTAGTTTACTGTTGATGTGTTGTATTTTCCAGAAAAAATCAAAGCAAGAGGGCACAGCCGGCATTGAACCATCTACAGGGGCCCGATTTCACAGAGAGGTCTTCACGGTATTGATAAAACTAATGCCAAGCAATATGAGTGAGTGAGTCAGTGAGTGAGTTAGTGAGTGTGTCAGTGAGAGATTGGGCCAATCAGTGAGTGAGTGTGCCAATGAGTTAGTGTGTGAGCCAGTGAGTGAGTGAGCCAGTGAGTGACTGAATCAGTAAGTTAGTGAGTGAGTGAGCCAGTGAGTTAGTGAGTCGGTGAGTGAGTGAGTGAGCCAGTGAGTGAGTCAGTGAGTCGGCCAGTGGGAAGGCTTTAAGTCAGCTTTAACTGACAGTTCTGATCGAGCACGGTTTAGCTCCAACAGAACAATTATTTCCATTGGCATGTCAAAGTGAATCAAAAGTATATTTCATAAGACCCATTCACATCTTAGCATTCGCCACCGACAAACAAAGACTGAAGTTATATCATTGCTGGTCACGTCTCGCTTATCAGATTAGACGAAAGACAATCGAAAATTGTTAATACAAGCGACAAACCCCTTTCCACATCCATAACAAATGGAATTCAGCTGAGTGATGGGACAATGGGATTCAGCTGAGTCAGGTGACAGTGGGGTTCATCTGAGTGAGTTGACAATGGGATTCAGTTGAGTGAGTTGACAATGGGATTCAGTTGAGTGAGTTGACAATGTGATTCAGCTGAGTGAGTTGACAATGTGATTCAGCTGAGTGATGGGACAATGGGATTCAGCTGAGTGATGGGACAATGGAATTCAGCTGAGTGATGTGACAATGGGATTCAGCTGAGTGAGTTGACAATGGAATTCAGCTGAGTGATGTGACAATGGGATACATCTGAGTGTTGAGACAATGGGATTCAGCTGAGTGAGTTGACAATGGAATTCAGCTGAGTGATGTGACAATGGGATACAGCTGAGTGATGGGACAAAGGACTTCAACTGAGTGAGTTGACAATGGGATTCAGCTGAGTGATTGGACAGTGGAATTCAGCTGAGTGATGGGACAGTGGGATTCAGCTAAGTGACGGGAGAATGGAATTCAGTTGAGTGATGGGACAATGGGACACACGCGAGTGAGTTGACAATGGGATTCAGCTGAGTGAGTTGACAATGGGATTCAGCTGAGTGAGTTGACAATGGAATTCAACTGAGTGATGGGACAATGGGATTCAGTTGAGTGATGTGACAATCGGATTCAACCAGGTGATGTGACAATCGGATTCAACTGGGTGATGTGACAATCGGATTCAACTGGGTGATGTGACAGTGGTATTCAGTTGAGTTAGCAATTGATCTGTTTTATTGATTTGTGTGAATTGACATTTGCATGACAAGTCAGATATATATATCCGTGTTAATATCGGTGACTCTTTTTAAAGTGGTAATACAGGTGATTAATATTAGCCTCATCTGTACAGCTACAACAGTTAGTTCAGCTTCAGGCCACATCTTGTCTGAACTGGTTTTACTCCCCAAAGAAAAGTAGTAAAAGGCAGATGAATCCTATCTGTTCCCAAAACTCGATCATTTCATGAGGCAGTTATATTTACTGACTCGGAATTCAGACCTCAACCAAGCGTATTAGAAAGATCCTTCACCTCAAGCTGGCAAGAGGAAGACTGGAACAGCTGGCTGGCACATGTACTCCGTTTGTTCTTATGTGAAATCAAATCGACCAATTCGTCGACGTAATAAACGCGAAGACGTCATAATCACGAGACTTCGTCTTGTACACTGTGGTTTAACTCTGCGTCACTGATAAAGAGGTCTCTCCCTTATGTACACATTGTCACGGAAATACTCTCGAGACAGTGAAATGATATCAGATTAAATTTACGAAGTGCAGTACTTCAGAAGGAAAGCTCATTTTCTCTAAGTACACGTTTGGGCCCCAACATATTTTATGGTTCAATTCTGCGGGCAATATTAGACTTCGTGTGTGCATCGGGAAAATGATTGATATATTATAAAATTTTGATAAACACATACATCTGTATGAACTTTTAAACCAATTTAAAGACCACTCCTTATCTGATCTGTTTATTGAAAGAGTTGTTACTTTTCAGAAATGAAATAGTAATTACCTGCGGTTTTAAAATATAAACTATATCATGAAGCATATTAGTTACTCATCACATTTGGATTACTCTGTTTAAAGTCATTTGATGTGTTGGGCGTAAATAGACCCATAAAGGTCCAAGTCGCCCTGAAAGCCAAATACATTACCATATCATTTAATGACAAGTGACCGTGTTCCCCCCGAGCCTGCATACCTGTCTTTGTGTACCATCATGTCCGTGTGTACCATCATATCCTTGTGTACCATAATGTCTTTGTGTACCATGGTGTCCGTGTGTACCATGATGTCTGTGTGCATCATGATGTCCGTGTGTACCATCATATCAGTGTGTACAATCATGTCCGTGTGTACTATAATGTCCGTGTGTACTATGATGTCCGTGTTTACCATGATGTTAGTGTGTTCCATGGTGTTCGTGTGTACCATGGTGTCCGTGTGTACTATGATGTCTGTGTGTACTATGATGTCCGTGTGTACCATGGTGTCCGTGTGTACTATGGTGTCCGTGTTTACCATGATGTTAGTGTGTTCCATGGTGTTCGTGTGTACCATGGTGTTAGTGTGTTCCATGATGTCCGTGTGTATTATGATGTCTGTGTGCACCATGATGTCTGTGTGTACCATGATGCCTGTGTGTACTATGATGTCCGTGTGTACTATGATGTCCGTGTTTACCATGATGTTAGTGTGTTCCATGGTGTTCGTGTGTACCATGATGTTCGTGTGTACCATGATGTCCGTGTGTACCATGATGTCTGTGTGTACCATGATGCCTGTGTGTACCATGAAATCCGTGTGTTCCATGATGTCTGTGTGTACCATCGTATCCGTGTGTATCATTACGTCCATATCTACCAGTATGTCCTACATGAACATGTTGTTTCAATATTGTAGGTTTAGTATCCGTGTGTACCATGATGTCTGTGTGTACCATGATGTCCGTGTGTACCATGATGTCCGTGTATACCATGATGTCCGTGTGTACCATCGTATCCGTGTGTACCATGAAGTCCGTGTGTACCATGATGTCCGTGTATACCATCGTATCCGTGTGTACCATCATGTCCGTGTGTACCAAGATGTCCTGCATGATCATGTTGTTTCAATATTGTAGGTTTAGTGTCCGTGTGTACCATCATGTCTGTGTGTACCATGACGTCCGTGTGTACCATCATGCCTGTGTGTACCATGATGTCCTTGTGTACCATCGTATCCGTGTGTATCATTACGTCCATATCTACCAGTATGTCCTACATGATCATGTTGTTTCAATACTGTAGGTTTAATGTCCGTGTGTACGATGATGTCCGTTTGTACGATGATGTCCGTTTGTACGATGATGTCCGTTTGTACGATGATTTGTACGATGATGTCCGTGTGTACCATGATGTCCGTGTACCATCATATCTGACACGTGAAGGACGAATCTACTCGACCTGGACTCGTGATGGACGTTTGTATATACATGTATGTGAACAACGTGAAGGCAGAATCAGAGTTGTTCATACCGAGTCGGATCTGGACAAATACAGTCGCTAAAATGTGTTGTGACTTGAGATATAATGTGTCCTTATTAATAGTTTGGATTTATTTACACGATTCAGTGAGTATATATGCCTGATATTGTTATACGTATCTTATTACATACACTACGCTTTCATAGTATACAAGATACCGTTCATTATCTTTTTACATGTAAGTTATACACTGCTATTAGAAATAATACCTACTTCTATGTAAATGGCCACAATCTCCAAACTGTGTTATACGGAATACCTCCGGCAAATAACAACGTCAATAAGAACATAATAGAGTCCCTGCATCAATACATCTATAAGTCTAAACGATTTGACAAATTATACTCACAATTATATGCAATCAATTAATGAAGTGTAGCTGCAAGTTCAATGTTTATAAGCACCTACAACGCACATATATGATATCTGCTTGTTTGCCAAACCAGATTCTCTAGGAATAAAAATATGTTTAAACCATACAAGATACTTGCTAATTCATGTTTTTGGTTGTATCTAATCACTGTATATACACTCACCATTCTCCAAACTTTGTACATAAATGTTTTATCAATCTGTTGTACTGTAAACTTGTCCATGTTAAAAAGTATTCCAAAGCACAAGTTTAGAACACACATGGTATCCAAATTGTTCGATAAACGAATTTATACAACTATTTTGAGTAACATCAGCCAATCCTGATCACGTATCCGCATTGTCTTGCTTTTCCTATGTAAACTCAATCAGCCATATGGGTAATGACATAACACAGTACCGTGCGGCGATCGGGGTATACCAAGGTGTGCGTTGTCACTACAAACAGAAACACTTTCAAATCAGACCTGACCTAGTTTTTACGATTTGTCACAACTTGAGATATATATTTTCACAAGAAATTCACCTAGCTTTCAAATTGTTACTTATTGAATGGAAAACATGTTATGTCATTTTTGTTCTGTGCTTACTTCAATCAAGTTTCAGCAAGGTAAACGCTGCGTTGATTATCCTATTGTTACTCCAGCTTGCCGGAGATATCGAGTCAAATCCCGGGCCTTCCAATGTAAGCCCAGATCATTCACTCTCTATATGTCACTTAAATGTAAGACGTTTTCGTCACAAGCAAAGGTATTTGTCTGAAATGTTGTCAGATTATGATATTGTATGTTTGACTGAAACTCACCTTGATGAATCTATTTCTGATGAAAATCTAAAATGGAATGATTTTCATGACCCCATTAGAAAAGATAGAAATGCTTTTGGTGGTGGTGTTATGATTTATGTTAGAAACAATGTTAATTTTAAAAGACTTGTTGAACTAGAAAATATAAACGACGAATAAAAGCCATTAATTATCTGCGCAATCTACAGACCAGAATATAATAAAAAACAGTTTTGGAGTAGACTTGACAACGCTATTGACTGACTGATTGACTGAGTTTGGTTTTACGCCGCTTTTAGCAATATTCCAGCAATATCACGGCGGGGGACACCAGAAATGGGCTTCACACATTGTACCCATGTGGGGATTCGAACCCGGGTTTTCGGCGTGACGAGACAACGCTATTGAAACCGCTCTAGACATATCTAGTACAGTTATTGTTACTGGTGACATAAATGTAAATATATTTTTAATTTTTTTTTTCATGTTTTTATTCCCAGAATTATGTTGACAGACTTTACCTCAGTAGTACAGTACAGGTAGCGTCTTAGTATGCAAGTACAGTGTTTCTTTGATCTCATTGTCAAATAACATGCTGTTCACATATGTGTAAAAACGGTCAAAAACTAAGCATGTATATGAAGTGTTACATGTTTACAGATTTTACCTCGGTAGTACACAGTACAGTACAAATAGTTTCATTGTACACAAGTACAGTGTTTCCTTTGTCACTCACTGTAACATCATGCTGTTCACAAATATGCAAAATGGTCTAACTAAGCATGTACGTGAAGTATTACATGTTTACAGACTTTATCTCAGTAGTACAGTACAGTACAATACCGGTAACCTCATAGTACATAAATATGTAAAATGGTCAAACTAAGCATGTATATGAGTGTTACATGTTTACAGATTTTACCTCAGTAGTACAGTACAGTACAGTACAGGTAGCCTCCTAGTACACAAGTACAGTGTTTCCTTGATCATATTGTCCCATATCATGCTATTCTCAAAGATGTAAAATGGTCAAACTAAGCATATATATGAGTGTTACATGTTTACAGATTTTACCTCGGTAGTACAGTACAGTACAGTACAGGTAGCTTCATAGTACACAAGTACAGTGTTTCCTTGATCGCATTGTCAAATATCATGCTATTCCCAAATATATAAAATGGTCAAACTAAGCATGTATATGAACATAAATGTAATTCTCCGTACACACCATGCAATGATAACATCACCAATTCACTAACAACAAACATCACAAGAATATTGGCCCGGTCGCAGTGTCGACACACGGCAGTGTATTACAAATATTGCAAACAGTGTGACATCAACGCACCAACCTTCAAAATACACTTCCCTCCTTCAACATTACATCATCAGGTGTGGAACCGCTGCCCGACACGTAAACAGAGATCAAAAACTGCATTCAAGAGAAAATTACTCTGGACCGTGACACTGTTCTCCCGACGAAGTCAGCGGCACCTTTCTGGGGAGTTTACAGCTTAACCTTTGATGTACTGAGCATGCCATAAATACAAATTATGATGTATACTGTACAACATAGCACATGAGGGAAACAATCCTCGTCCAAACAGACCACGTTCAAAGTGAACTCGTATTATCAAGGCTCGCCAGCCT